CGGAAAGTGGTACAGGAGGAAATGACTGTGGGGGATGGAGTGGTGGGAGATGTGGGGGAGGTTAGTTGTTAGGTGAGGTCAAGTGTTAGGTGAGGTTGGGGTAGGATTCCCTGAAGAGGAGGGTTTTCAGGGTGCGCCTGAAGGTGAGGAGGGTAAGTGACAGTCTGATGGATTAGGGTAGGGAGTTCCAGAGGATGGGGGAAGTCCTAAATAAGTCCTGCCATCGGGCGTGGGAGGAAGAGACCCAATAAATAATTACTAGTTCTGCGACTCCCCAAAATTGGTAGTGCTACATAAATGATTATTAAAGCTTCTATTATAAAAAATCGGTCTTCCCTAATAGATTTTCCTGAGCCTACAGCTGATTGGTATTATCATGCTAAGCAAGCTACGGCATGACCACTGTTAATGACACTCCTGTCTGATTAGAAGCCATTTCCTATCTGTTTCTCCCGAGGGAGTTGTTTGTGCAGCTTGAACAGAACTCAGAACAATTAGAAAGAACCTTGCAATAGGGTCAGGTGGCTTGCAAGCGTGCGATCGGACGGTGATTGTTCCATACGACAACCATCCCGTTTATCTTAATCTAAATAACGTCGCAGATTCCCCCCCCCCCCCTCCGACTTACAGGCAGCGACCCTTTCTAGCAGCTACAGTATTGACTGATTTGATATTTAAATGTGAAAATATTGTCGACGTTGTATTTCATAAGAAATGTCACGGCAGACTAGGAAGAGATAGCACGCTGTCAGATTCAGAATGATAGATTCGCAAGAAGAAGAAGAAAAAAAAAAAAAACTCTTGTTGCATAAAGATGAGCCCTTTTGTGCTACCTTGGAAGGTTGCTATAGCAACAGAGCGTTGCTTCCTGGGAATTTCAGTTTTCTTGTTTGCTCCGAGAAGTCAAAACCCCCTTGTTTGTTGCAGTCTTGGATTTTATCCTAACAAGGAATGAAATGATGCTTAGTGCCTATTTATTTTATTTTTTTTTTATTTATTTTTTTAGCAGATTCATCTATCACTGATCTTTGGTTAGGATGACATGCGTAGATGGTAACAAGCAGGATTTTGCTGTCGCGGTTTGTCCTGGGAGGCGTTCCTGTTATGAGCAGGAAATAATAATGTCATCTTGTTAACAGAGGATTTAGATTTCTATAAGGTGTTGCTTATTATTTCATGATCGTCTGTACAGATGGAGCCGTTCCTGCTCACTCGTGTTTCCTTGTACTCAATGATATTCCCAGTCAGGGGTGGACTGACAACTCATGGGGCCCCCGGGCAATAGGGGATCATGGGGCTTCTGTGTCCTTGCCCAAACTCAAAAAAGCCTATGAAAAAGGTACCAGGGGCATCTCATGGGGCCCCCTACTGACCCCGGGCCCTCGGGCAGCGCCCGAGTTTCCAAATGGTCAGTCCGCCCCTGTTCCCAGTTTATATTCAGATAACAAATATTTTGGTTTCTGATTTTCCTTTGCGAGTGTGTGTATGTGTTGCCACATTTGTGAGTCTAAGTCAGGGGCGGACTGACAACTCATGGGGCCCCCCGGGCAATAGGGGATCATGGGGCCCCTGCGTCCTTGCCCAAACTCAAAAAAGCCTATGAAAAAGGTACCAGGGGTATCTCATGGGTCCCCCTACTGACCCCGGGCCCTTGGGCAGTGCCCAAGTTTCCAAATGGTCAGTCCACCCCTGGTCTAATGGCGGGAGGTATATCCAGCCCTTTCTGCACTATACCAGCATAACACAGTTAAAGCGGAGCTCCACCCAAAAGGGGAAGTTCCGCTTTAAGGACTGCTCCCCCGCTCCCTGTTAACCACTTCCAGTCCGGACACTTGTACCCCCTTCCTGTCCAGGCCAATTTTCAGCTTTCAGCGCTATCACACTTTGAATGACAATTGCGCGGTCATGCAACACTGTACCCATATGAATTTTTTAGCATTTTTTTTTGAGACAGATAAAGCTTTATTTTGGTGGTATTTATTCACCACTGGGATTTTTATTTTTTTTTGCTATTTAGATTAAAAAGTCCAAAAATTTTGAAAAAAAAAGTGTTTTTCTTTATAACATTTTGCAATAGTATTTGGCCAAAATTTATTCCGTTATATTTTTAGTAAAAAAAAATAATGTCAATTAGTTTATAACCAAACATTATAATTTTTAAAACATTTTTTTTTTACATTTTTTACAATTTTTTTTTTATATTATTTTTTATTTATAATTTTTTTTTACATACTGTCACCCTAGCAGTACAGTGTCACCATCCTTAGACATATGATAATGGGTGCCTCTGCTGAGCAGACCACTGACAGGCCTTTTCTAGACCTTAGTAAAAGGTGTCATGGCTGACTGCAGAGGTTGTTCAGGGTAAGTTTGTCCCTGTAGAAAGGCTTAGGACAGGATGAGCTCCCTTTGTTAGTTCAAGTATAGTTTACAACTGATAATTAGATCTGCTAGCACAGTACAGACAGGGTTATATATGGCAAACACAGAGACTTCTCATAAACAAAAAGAACTAAGTAGGATTTTTCAGTGCTGGAACTATAAAAAAACATCTAAAATGGCAAGCAGCAATTTTCTTTTTAAGTTAAATGGGAAAAATAACTGATGTTCCAACAGACCTTTTAACTACCTTGGCTGGTTAGGAGGTGGTAGTTAAACGTATGTATTGATCAGGGGCGGACTGACCATTTGAAAACTTGGGCACTGCCCGAGGGCCCGGGGTCAGTAGGGGGCCCCATGAGATGCCCCTGGTATGTTTTTGATAGGCTTTTTGGGTTTGGGCAAGGACACAGGGGCCCCATGATCCCCTATTGCCCAGGGGGTCAGTAGGGGGCCCCATGAGATGCCCCTGGTACCTTTTTCATAGGCTTTTTTGAGTTTGGGCAAGGACACAGGGGCCCCATGATCCCCTATTGCCCGGGGACCCCAAGAGTTGTCAGTCCGCCCCTGGTATTGATTATACCTAGCAACTAAAAAACATTGGTTATTACATAGCACCAAAGGATATCTTTGTCAACAAATGATATGAATTTTATTTAGGTGTTGCATGATGGAGTAAGTGTCAGTCAAACTATCACAACACTGAAAATTTAAAAAATGCTATGGAAAGAAAGAGGGTGTAACATCCCGATATTGAGGTGGTTAAGAAATACCCACACTAAAACATGCACAATGAACTGTCTGTTTATCAAACTGCATAAAGTTTATATAAGTCCCCCATAGGACATATTTTAATTGTTTCAAAGTAGAACAATTCTACTTACCTTTCGGAAGCTGCTGAATTATGGGTTTCATCTGCCAAGTATGGGGGCATTAGAAAAAATATGAAGAACAACTCCTCCTCAACATATTTTGGAAAATAAGGCTTTAAATCATTAAATACACCCAAATGTGTCAACTATATGGCCCCTTTCCTAGTAGGTAATTCGGCTTTTTTAGTAAGTGTTACTTTGACTAACAAATTTTTTTCTACCATCATCAATGTGTAAGCTAAGCCGGTGTTTATGAAAATGGAACCTGTTAATCCAGAAAGAACCAATCACGCAACTGTGTCAAATAAATCCAATGGGGGTGCTTTACTAAATGAATAGAGAGGCATTTCAAATACCTAATGAGGTCCAATTTAAATTAAAATTGTAAAACAAACAAAATTTGGAGCTTCTACGAAACTTCCTGATGGCATCTTCACTGCCCATTGGTTGTTAAGGGGTCCATCAAAAGGTTCTCTACTGTCACAGCTTTGGTCTCATAATGCACACTGGCTGTTAAAGGGTCCATCAAAATGTTCTCTACTGTCACAGCTTTGGTCTCATAATGCACATATAATGCACACTGACTGTTAAAGGGTCCATCAAAATGTGCTCTACTGTCACAGCTTTGGTCTCATAATGGCATGATGCAAGGGCATGGCAACGAGACCCATTGGCTGCAAAGAAAGCAGCTTGCACTGACTCCATAACCCTGAGAGGTACCATGACCAGTCACATGATGGTGAATTCAGATAAGTAAATGGGGGTCAGAGAATAAAAACTTGAGAATCCCTAGGAGAGGAAAAAATTGCATTTTTAATGCCTGGAGTTTGGTTTGAAAAATACAAAAATGTATATTGTTTTCCTGCACCTGATGGGAGGATCAATCTATTCCTACCAGTGTAACACATCAATGTGTCAGTATGGTGGGTGGGCCTTAATGCTGATCTAGCTATCACAGATATACATCCATGGGACTCTGTTCTATGCTAGGAGTGCACACCCAGAACACTGGTGAAGTTGGCAGTGACAGCTCCTGGTCACCATTTACAATTGTGGGATGGGTTCCTGATCATGTGACCACTGTAACAACCAATCATGGTGATCACATGATCGGGAAGTCTACCTCCCATCATTAAGATCCACTTAAAGAGCTGGTGAGAGGCATCCGCAAGGGGTTAAAGTAATTATATAGTCTGACGGTTTTTATCTTAATGCATTCTATGCAATACGATAAAAACCTTCTGCATGCAGCTCCCCCCCCCCCCCCCATATACATACCTGAGCCCTTTCTCAATCCAGTGCTGTGCAAGAGAACACTGGCTCTCTCCGCTCTCTCCCTTCTCATTAGCTCAGAGACAGCAAGTGAAGAGGGAGCAGAAGATGATCACATGCAGATTGTGACTTGGGAGTGAATGAATGCCCCCATAGCAAGTGGCTTGCTATGGGGCACTTAGCAAGGAGGAACCAGGATGTTGGCGAGGAACACAGGAATGTAACACCTTTCCACAGAGCAGGTACGTATACCGTTTGTTATTTATAAAAAATAAAAATTGATCCTTTACAATCACTTTAAAATGAACACGGCTTTATTATACTTACAGTACTAAGCTCAGTAAACAGCCACTTTGTTTAGTGAACAATGCCTTTAGTAAATCAACAACACTGTATAAAATGTGTATACAATTAAAAATTGTACAGATAATGTACAACACGGATGATCTCTCCTTGTTTTCATAAATAGTATAAAAATGTAAAGTGTTACTAAACCCACAACAGTACAATCAGTCTGTATATGCAGTAAAGCATGCTTGTTATACTCACTGTGGAACCTAAGGGGTTAATCCTCTGCATTGTGTAAAAAGGCCTTTTGATCCTGTTTTCTCTGCTCCTCCTCTTGTTCAAATTTCCACATCTTATCTCTGATAAGACAAACTGAACCTGTAGCCACATGCACATGCTTAGCTTGTGTGTATTGCTAGAGTTTTTCTTTCTTGGGAGAGTGCATATGATCAGCACAGGGCCAATCAGAGGTCAGGGGTTCTGCATACTCCTAGAGCAGAAATAAAACTCCTTCTACAAGCTTTATCCAGTGCTCTGCTGAACACTGATAGAAGTCACAAGACTGCTTTATACTGCTGATGAGAAAATGTATTTAGCAGTTTATATTTACTAAAATAATTTTAATTTCCATGTTGTGTTTACTGTGGGAGACTAGATATAGTGAATGCAGGGTCCTGGGAGACCAGGTTTAGTGAATGCAGGGTCCAGGGAGACCAGATATAGTGAATGCAGGGTCTGGAGAGACCGTATAGTGAATGCAGGGTCCGGGGAGACCAGATTTAGTGAATGCAGGGTCCAGGGAGATTAGATATAGTAAATGCAGGGTCCAGGGAGACCAGATATAGTGAATGCAGGGTCTGGAGAGACCGGATATAGTGAATGCAGGGTCCAGGGAGACCATATATAGTAAATGCAGGGTCTGGAGAGACCGGATATAGTGAATGCAGGGTCTGGGGAGACCAGATTTAGGGAATGCAGGGTCCAGGGAGATTAGATATAGTAAATGCAGGGTCCAGGGAGATTAGATATAGTGAATGCAGGGTCCGGGGAGATTAGATATAGTAAATGCAGGGTCTGGGGAGACCAGATATAGTGAAATGCAGGGTCTGGGAGACCAGATATAGTAAATGCAGGGTCTGGGGAGACCAGATATAGTGAATGCAGGGTCTGGGGAGACCAGATATAGTGAATGCAGGGTCTGGGGAGACCAGATATAGTGAATGCAGGGTCCGGGGAGACCAGATATAGTGAATGCAGGGTCCGGGGAGACCAGATATAGTGAATGCAGGGTCCGGGGAGACCAGCTATAGTGAATGCAGGGTCCGGGAGGCCAGATATAGTGAATGCAGGGTCCGGGGAGGCCAGATATAGTAAATGCAGGGTCCGGGGAGACCAGATATAGTGAATGCAGGGTCCTGGGTTTAGGAGCACTTTAAGACCATATTTGCAACAAATGTATTATATCACTGTGTCAGTGCCTTGGGGCCCTTGCCTAATGAATGCAGTGTTACTATATAGGTATAATTGTGTTTTTTGTGTTTGTTTTTTATTTTGTTTGGTGAGCCCCTAGAGCAATCCCAGTCCCACATGGATTGGTATGAATACAAAAATTCAGAGAACTTGCAGTGATTAAAAGACAGCTAGAGGCAAAACACAACATTTAGTAGTAAATATTCTATAAATTTCATTTTTGCTTGAGTCTGTTTTCTTGGTTCTTCAATACTTTTTTTGGAAAGAAAATTTAAAGAAACCTTTACTAGAAATCTAGAGGTTTCCATTGCTGACCTCCTTCATAAAATACCAAATGCTTGGCTACTACATTGATTCAGTGGCTTCAGGGCTTTCACACTCACTGATCTGGAACACGCTTTCAGATTAGAAAGTCAAAGTAAAGTTGGAACCCCTGAACTACATACTATTTTCAGGCCAGATAAACCACATAGTATTAATGGCTTTACAGTGAGAAGACATCTCCCAAAGGCCCCTTCCATGCATGTAGTGTGTGGGCAGCTCTTGGGAGTGAAGGCAGTGGGAATAATTTGCTAGGAAAAGAAATCAGTGCATGCTCATGGCCAGAGGACAGTCGAGCAGAGGAGACCTGGACAGGGCTGATGACACCTAGAATTTCAATGCACCAGGGGCACTGAGACTGACTACTGAGGAAGTGAAAATTTGTATGAAAATTCACTTCAATTGTCTAATCATTCAAAAAGCAAATTCCATGTCACTTTAAATAATCGGCAAATACCTTTCACACAATTTTATAACTGAAGTGAATAGTCACACATTGGAAACAGTCCTCAGAGATTTTGGTTCATATTGACATGAGTTACTGTTGTCTCCTGTCATCTCGAACCAGTCTTCCCAATCTCCACTGACATCAACAAGGCATTTTCATCCACACTGCCGCTCACACGGATATTTCCTCTTTTTCGAACCATTCTCTGTAATCCCTAGAGATGGCTGTGTGTGAAAATCCCAGTAGATCAGCAGTTTTTGAAATACTCAGACCAGCCCATCTGGCACCAACAACGGTGCCATGTTCAAAGTCTCTTAAATCCCCTTTCTTCCCCATACTGATGCTCGGTTTGAACTTCAGCAAGTCATCTTCACCACGTCTAGATGCCAAAATACATTGAGTTGCCGCCATGTGATTGGCTGATTAGCAATTTGTGTTACCACGCAATTGAACAGGTATACCTAATAAAGTGGCCGGTTAGTGTGTGTATGTGTGTGTATATATATACAGTGGGGCAAAAAAGTATTTAGTCAGCCACCAATTGAAATTAGTCAACCCCATAGAAAACCTTTAGAGGGAGTTGAAAGTCCGTGTTGCCCAGCGACAGCCCCAAAACATCACTGCTCTAGAGGAGATCTGCATGGAGGATGGGCCAACATACCAGCAACAGTGTGTGCCAACCTTGTGAAGACTTACAGGAAACGTCTGACCTCTGTCATTGCCAACAAAGGATATATAACAAAGTATTGAGATGAACTTTTCATATTGACCAAATACTTATTTTCCACCATAATTTGCAAATAAATTCTTTCCAAATCAGCCAATGTGATTGTCTGGATTTATTTCTCATTTTGTCTCTCATAGTTGAGGTCTACCTATGATGCCAATTACAGGCCTCTCTCATCTTTTTAAGTGGGAGAACTTGCACAATTGGTAGCTGACTAAATACTTTTTTGCCCCACTGTATATATATATATATGTATGTGTATCTGCATATGTGTGTGTGTTTTTTAACTGAACTGGTGTTTTTACTAGGTATGGGTTCACATATGCTTTGAATATCCTTTGGCCCCTTTAACCACTTCCCGACCGGCCGTTGCATATAAACGGCCGGACGGTGGCAGTGCAGGGTCGGGTGGCCATTTATAAACGGCCTGCCCGCACCCTGCTTGTGCGCGCTCCCTGGGAACGCGCAGCACCCGCGATCCTGTGCCCGGTGTGTCCTCCCGGACACAGTGAAACACCGATCGTCGGACGGGTCCCGATCATGTGATCACTGATTGGCCAATCAGTGATCACATGCAAAGTAGTAAGCAAGATGTCACTTGTGACATCATTGCTTACTACGTGTGAAATCTGTGAATGATCACAGAGGTCACATGGTACAAGGCTATTCACAACAGCCTTGTACCATGTGACAAGCTGTGACCAATCACAGCTCACTCAGTACTTCTCAATGAGTGCAAGAATGCAGACAGAGAGAAAGAGAAATGATTGCTTTTACATCCTATATGGGTGTAAAAGCAATCAGTGTAAAAAAAAAAAAAAATCTTCATCACCCCCCACAAGTAGTACAGTGTCACCATGGTGACACTGTACTGCTAGGGTGACAGTATATAAAAAAAAATAAAAAATAATATAAAAAAAAATAATATAAAAATTAAAAAAAAATGTTTAAAAATTATAATTTTTGGTTATAAACTAATTTGGATTTTTTTTTCTACTAAAAAAAGATAGCGGAATAAATTTTGGCCAAGATTTATGATGAAATATTATTTATTTGCAAACTTTTATAAAAAAAAACACTTTTTTTCAAAATTTTTGGACTTTTTCATTTACATAGCAAAAAAAAATAAAAATCCAAGCGGTGAATAAATACCACCAAAATAAAGCTTTATCTGTCTCAAAAAAAGGGTAAAAAATTCATTTGGGTACAGTGTTACATGACCGCGCAATTGTCATTCAAAGTGTGATAGCGCTGAAAGCTGAAAATTGCCCTGGACAGGAAGGGGGTAAAAGTGTCCGGACAGGAAGTGGTTAATAAACCATCTTCAAAGTGCTTTCAGCCATTAACAGAAAGTTAGGCACCCGCTGGATGTTTGGCAGGACACACAGATATTTTGCTTTATGAGGAACATTTGTGAATGTGCAAGTAGTGTGGAGATGAACTTCATTTTTTATTTTTCAATAGTTTTTATTGAGTTTCACAAAAGATCAAACAGAAGATGGCTGTACATGTCAGCATTCGAGTAGCTGTCAAACAAGTACGTTGGAGACAGTACATCAAAATACACAATTAGCAAAAATACTAAACAAAAAAGTAATAGAAAACTATAAACTGTATAGCATAACAACAATCCACAAGGGTAGAATACTGAGGAACCCAAAGGTTTTACGTATGATGATCATGTCACTTCAAGCAACACAATATTAGGCAAGAGAGATATGGATACATTACCTGTGAGGGCATCTAGCAGAAGTACAATAGAATAATAAATTGATACTAAACACACTGTTTAATTTATATTATCCTTTCTCTTATTGTACATGGATGATAACTCTGTAATTATTTGATTTATCCTAATCGATATACAGTTGTCACATGGCCCAGCTCTCTCCCAGCTGGTCTGCAGGACCTGGAGGAGCTTCTAGCAGGAGGCGCTTCTAGTCCTTTGGAAACAGTAAAAATAAATAAATATTATCAATCAACTGCTTTAAATTGTCACAAATGTTTATAATTGAAATTAAATCTTTTTGGCAATAACATGGTGTGGGTTGGATTTAGAATGTCTTAGAATAACAGGGAGGTGAAGCCTCTGTCAATCAAGATGCAATATCCCACCCCCGTTGTGTTTAGGTGGTTAGTGGTCATGGAGGAGGAAGGAGGGAGTCATTAACTACTATGTATACACATGCACGGCTCTATAGTCCCATGAGCAGCTCAGAGGGAATGCTCAGTATAGAGAACTCATCGAAAACTGAGCACGTGCACTAGGACTTTCTAGTGGCTCATCCGAAATGAACAAGACAAAAAAAAAAACAGATAGAGGTCAGAACAAGTTTCCAGCTTTTCTTAATGTAGGACTATATTGGCACAGCATAGGATGATAACAACAAATCCACATAAAAAAGATACATTTTATTATACAAATACATATAAAAACCACAAAGAAACTCCCTATTTTGACCCGAGCATGTGCATTAGCTGCCAACACTGCTCTTCAGAATCCCTAACTGCAGTGGGGACATGGAGAGGAGGGAGACAGAGAGCAGGATCAACCATACAGAAAATGAATCCCATAGTGACTGAGTATGAACAGCATGTAACACAACATTCATTGATAGTTTTCAATAATGTGGGGTTAAAGTGTTACTAAACCCCCGGACCCTGCATTCACTATATCTGGTCTCCCCGATCCTGCATTCACCATATCTGGTCTCCCAGGACCCAGCATTCACTATATCTGGTCTCCCAGTACCAAGCATTCACTATATCTGGTCTCCCAGGACCCTGCATTCACTATATCTGGTCTCCCTGGACCCAGCATTCACAATATCTGGTCTCCCCGGACCCTGCATTCACTATATCTGGTCTCCCCGGACCCTGCATTCACTATATCTGGTCTCCCCAGACCCTGCATTCACTATATCTGGTCTCCCCGGACCCAGCATTCACTATATCTGGTCTCCTCGGACCCTGCATTCACTATATCTGGTCTCCCAGGACCCTGCATTCACTATATCCGCTCTGCCAGGACCCTGCATTCACTAAATCTGGTCTCCCCGAACCCTGCATTCACTATATCTGGTCTAATAATTGAAAAGAATGCAGCGCTTCATATTGAAGGTAAACATGACATAAAATAAAAGAATGAGTAAAAGTCTTAAAATGTGCAACGTGGCAATCGTGGTTCCTTAGATGGTTATTTAAAATAACATGACTTCCGTGGTTCATGAGAAGTGAGTATATAATGTACTAACCAGATAGCACATGTTTATGTACGTTGGAGTAAATAAGACCTACTCCAGAGGTACTCTGGGAACCGGAACTCTGCAAACAGGTGAGGTCGTCAGGTGGGGTTGAGTCACCAGATGTCATCCAACCAGCGCAGATCTCCTCATTCCAGTATAATGTATAATCATCACATAGGGTACATCATGCAGTATGGATTTCGGCCACCAGGGGGATCATGCACATGGGTGTACGTCTCCTACCATGGATCACCTTAATGGGGGGTGGGGGGCTCACATGTCTCCCATTTCTTGAAGTGGCAGCAGAGGAGGCTCATTTTTTGGAAACTGTGAGCCCCCCACCCCCCATTAAGGTGATCAGGAGATAAGAGGGGGATACTGAAAGAAGGGGAGGATCAGAGAAGACAGGATCAAACAGCCTTCTTACACAATGCAGAGGATTAACCCCTTGGGTTCCACATGACATGTCTTATCAGGAGATAAGAGGGGGATACTGGAAGAAGGGGAGGATCAGAGAAGATAGGATCAAACAGCATTTTTACACAATGCAGAGGATTAACCCCTTAGGTCCCACAGTGAGTATAACAAGCATGCTTTCCTGCATATACAGACTGATTTTACTGGGGGTTTAGCAACACTTTAATGACACTTTAAGCAGTGTAGAAACCATGAGTAATCCATGAGCAGGGGCGGACTGACCATTTGGAAATTCGGGCACTGCCCAAGGGCCCGGGGTCAGTAGGGGCCCCATGAGATGCCCCTGGTACCTTTTTCATAGGCTTTTTTGAGTTTGGGCAAGGACACTGGGGCCCCCTGATCCCCAATTGCCCGGGGGCCCCATGATTTGTCAGTCCGCCCCTGTCCATGAGTTCCAAGAAAGATTACATTTAGATACGCAATTATTTTTCATAGCAAATATGTCCTCAAGTGCGCAGTTCTGATTTACTTCTTTTCCAAGTTCTTTGTTGGAATTTTCCTAATTTTGTAAAATCATATCGATCTTTTCCCCCCATGGATCGCATGTGTTTTGAAATTATTATAAAAAGTTAAAGAATTAAAATTTGTAAAACGAAGCTTTGTTCACTTCAAACATCCTGACATAGACAAGGGGATAAAAAAAAAAGAAGTTCTGCTCATTTTGAAGTTTTTGAAGTAAATGTGAGCTCCCTTCACTCCTCTTCACCCATCTCTCCTCCTGAGTTAATAATCATGCCCAGTGCCTTGCCTCTCTGTGTCATGGGCAACAAATTAGCCGTTACGTACAAAGCAGTTCAATCCAACACTTTGTAGTCTGTGCTAAAATGGAAACCTGCACACCTTCTGAAAGCTGATTAGTAACCTTCAGTACAAGAAGTATTTTCGCTCTCACATAAAGGAAAAAAAAAATCCAGTTACTTCGAAGCTGAAAATGTGAACTACTTTGAAAAGGTCTTGTTCAGGGTTCTCTTTTAAAATTAAGTCCCCGATCACACTGGATGCGAATTGCCAAGTAATTTGCATGCGCATTGCCAAATTGCAGTCTATTGTGCGCAATTACAGCGGTCATATCAGTGCGGTTCTGACTTGGTCGGAGCCGCACCGATTTCTAAAGTAGTACATGCATTACTTTTGGTGCGATTTGCATAGACTGGCACTGATAGGCAGCACTAAAAGGCAGCTTTGATGGGCACTGGTATGTGGCATTGATGTGTACTGATGGGCACTGATACTGATGGGGCACTGGTATGTGGCATTGATGTGTACTGATGGGCACTGGTATGTGGCATTGATGTGTACTGATGGGCACTGGTATGTGGCATTGATGTGTACTGATGGGCACTGGTATGTGGCATTGATGTGTACTGATGGGCACTGGTATGTGGCATTGATGTGTACTGGCACTGGTATGGGCACTGATGTATATGTGGCATTGATGTGTACTGGTGGGCACTGGTATGTGGCATTGATGGGCACTGGTATGTGGCATTGATGTGTACTGATGGGCATGGTATGTGGCATTTGGCATGATGGCACTGGTATGTGGCATTGATGATGGGCACTGGTATGTGGCATTGATGGGCACTGATTGGCACTGGTATGTGGCATTGATGTGTACTGATGGGCACTGGTATGTGGCATTGATGGGCACTGATTGGCACTGGTATGTGGTATTGATGTGTACTGATGGGCAATGATATGTGGCATTGATGTGTACTGATGGGCACTGGTATGTGGCATTGATGGGCACTGATTGGCACTGATATGTGGTATTGATGTGTACTGATGGGCACTGGTATGTGGCATTGATGGGCACTGCTTGGCACTGGTATGTGGCATTGATGTGTACTGATGGGCACTGGTATGTGGCATTGATGGGCACTGGGCACTGGTATGTGGCATTGATGGGCACTGATTGGCACTGGTATGTGGCATTGATGTGTACTGATGGGCACTGGTATGTGGTATTGATGGGCACTGACAGTTGGCAATTATGGGCACTGACAGGTGGCACTGATGGGGCTACATTGATCATCAGGGCACTAATGACAGTGTACATGTCCTTTCTAAAGAATGCATCTTACCGGCTCTACTCACTCACTGTCAGTATGAGGAGAGGACTTCCGATAACCGGCATTTCCTGTGTACACGCGAACAGCTGTGATTGGACGCAGCGGATCACATGATAGAGCCGGCGTCATTGGTTCTTTACTGTGATTGCTGTATCCCAGGGACATAGCGCACCCCCAGACACTGCACGCCCTCGGGGGCGCACATGCGCAGCTAGAGTGGGAGGACATCACATAACGTCCTCCCAGAACAAGAGAACTGGGCGGGAGGTGGTTAGATATGCCCAGTGACCAAATGCAACATTTATACAATTGGCTGAGCTTTTAGAAAGCAGGGGGTGGGGAGCTGAAAGTACAGTCTGCAGAGGGCGGACTGACCATTTGAGCACTCGGGCACTGCCCGAGAGCCCCGGGTCAGTAGGGGGCCCCATGAGATGCTCTCTGTTTTATTTTATTCTATTCTTTTCAAATTTCGGAAAACGGCTATATTCTTTCTATTCTATTCTTTTGAAATCTATTCTATTTTTTTCTTCTATTCTGTCCCTTTATTTTCTATTCTATTCTTTAATATTCCATTCTGTTCTGTTTTATTTTATTCTATTCTTTTCGAATTTCAGAAAACGGATATATTCTTTCTATTCTATTATATTCAAATCTATTCTATTTTTTTTTCTTCTATTCTGTTCCTTTATTTTTCTATTCTTTTCTATTCCATTCTATTCTGTTTTATTTTATTCTATTCTTTTAAAATTTCGGAAAACAGCTATAGTTTTTCTATTCTATTCTTTTCAAATCTATTCAATTTTTTTCGCCTATTTTATTCCTTTATTTTCTATTCTTTTCTATTCCATTCTATTCTGTTTTATTTTATTCTATTCTTTTCAAAGACGGCTATATTCTAACACTAATACACAGTTATTGAAGGAAAACAGCAATATTCAGCAATATGTTCATATTTCAAATTTGTTTTCAAATTTGATTTGAATTAGATTTGAATTTCAGAGGACATTTCGTTATTTTGGATTCATTTAAATTCGTTACTATTGTAATTCAGAAATTTGGATACAAGGAAAATTCCGTCCGAATATCGATTTGATTAACCTCCTTAGCGGTATTCCCGAGTGTAGCTCGGGGTAACATTTCTATACCAAGAGCGGTAACCCCGAGCTACACTCGGGCTTACCATGCGGCGCTGCTCTGGGGGTCCCTGCAGCACTTACCTTGTCCTTCGCTCCCACGATGTGTCCCCTGCAGCGTCCCCGGCCATCTCCTCCAGCAGATGCCGGCATCCGGCTTCTGTGTTCCGGTCCCTGTGACGTCGGGACGTACGGGCGCCGGAACCGGCGGGAAATTTGAAATTTTTAAAAACTGTAATTTTTGCTGTCATTGCTGTTTCAATGCATTTCACATATATTTTGTCCCTACTGCTTTGTCCTGCGCCCTGCCTGCATTTTGAATCTTCTTTCTGCCTGGAAACTTAGAAAAGTCCATGGCGTCCAAAAAGCGTCCCTTTACGTCAAAAGCGGTTTTAGAGCAGCGATAGTAAATCAGAACCACTTGCAGAATTGAGTGACAATGATTCGTGGGGGAAATTCGTCATCAGACACTGAAAACGATTTTGCGACTTTGCTCAGTGATGTGCGAACTTGGCGCTATATTTCAAATTTCAGTGTTTTTGGTTTGATTATATTATTGAATTAAATGTATTATTATTATTATATTATTATTTTCTATGATTATTTATTAATTTATAATTTATGATTTTGTGTTTGAAATTTTATCATATCCGGGATGGTTGCTAGACTCTTGTTCGGACAGATTTCAGTGAGTTATTCCTAAAAATTACAGGCCTACAATAAAAAACTACATATTTTCATGCAAAAAAATGGTACCGCTTTCAGCACAAAAAAATCGGTAAAGAATCATACCGCCAGGGATGTTAAATGTCTAATATTTCTAATAATCACATTCCTTGCATAAAGGAACAGAAGTGTGAGGAAAGTGCGGATAGTTTTCATGGGAGCCAGAGAATCCAGCAGGCTTCTTAGACCTTCACGATCATAGAGCTTTCTTCATCTGCTCAGCCTGTAGGTATTATTTTGTTCCT